ACACGTCTGTTTTGTTGGATTTTGTTTTTTTTTTTTGGGGAGGCGGGGGGTGTCTGTGGACTGATACAAGGAATTATTTCATTTTTGAACATTTTAATCAAAATATATAAGATCAGTTTAATTGAAAGGGACTCAATGTTCATATAAATGTAAAAAATGTCTTTTGACTCCAAAAAAGACCAAATAGGCTGCGAAATCAACACGTATGGTATGGTGTGATATCATTTTAATTTTGATTGCAAATTGTTTTGAGGCCTCCAATTTCCAGCTCACAGTTTGAAACCCATTACGCAAAATGACCGTCTTTCCCTCTTGGGATATCGCTGCCATGTTAAGCATCGTGTAGACACAAAGCATGCATGGAGTGTTTGGCGAACAAAGGTGAAAGGAAGGACAAAAGACCGCGCGAGGATGCGTCGTCGGCGTCCCTGACCTGATGTGACTGAATGCGCCTGCGAGCGGCTTCTCTTACTTTCCTTTCAATAAATCAAACGCCTCTCTCGCGTTATCAAGGAACTGTCATCCATCTTCAGACAGTGGCCAGAGACACCATCATAAAATTCATTACCGTCAGGTTTTAATTTTTAAATTATGTATTGATTATTTTTATTATGAGTGGTTGTGATGAGGGTGAATTTATATCATGTATTTGTAAAAGATATCTTAATTGCCATCGGGCCTGTTCCAGTTTACAGTTTTTATTAGCCGTAGCTTGGCTAATTACTATGATTTGGGGGGGTTTTTTTGGGGGGGGGTCCGTGTGAAATGTCAGAGTTGTTTTTATTGCCCCTCCCAACTGAGATGTGTTTACTTTAAAACAAAGCACAAAACAACGAATGACATGTGGCGTCATTAACGCAACATTTGGTATTGCCAATAGTTCACCAGCTTGATGCTAACACATGACGGCTAACAACAGAGATGTAAAAGTCAGTCAATTTACAATCGGTACTGGAAAACAGTCAAACCCCCGCTATTCACGGGAGGGATAGGGACCGGCCTGAGGATTGTGAAAATCTGCATATATACGAGCTCCTTCCAATTCGGCGAGCTCGTCCTTCCACCGCTCTTGAAAGAAACGCCCAGACAGACGCCACCTGGAGGCTCGGGTGGTGTCACACCGGCCCCGTGGCCCCCTTCCCATTCGCTCAGTGTCAGTCCAGACTGCTCAACCTGACACGTCAGTTTCGGCCCGGCAGGAATCGAGGCGGCTCGGAAGCCGCGCGGACCACCGAGGGTTCGGCGTTTCCCGTGACATTGCGTCCACGCGTTGTGTCGCTGATATCAAAAGCAGACAATTTGGTGTTTTGTCGCGGAATTTGGATTTGACCGTACTCGAGGTTGAGAGGGAGAGAGCGACGGCAGCTGGAGTGATTCGGAGCTTCTCAAGCTCATTAAATGTTAATCAAAAAAAATCTATTTTCAGATGACTTGCAGATCTATCATGAGGATTTGAGGCCAGCGAGGGGGCCAGTGCTCGTGAGCTGAATTATCTGATGTTGGATGAGGATTGGATCAAGGTCTTCGTTTTTTTTTTTTTTCTCCTTCCTAGTTTTCTAGATTTTTTTTTTTTTTTTTTTTTTGGGATACAAAACAGAACAGTAAACCGTTTGCTATTTGTGAGAAAACGGGACATAAAATAACAGTAATTGATGCCCCCTCCCTTGAAGAGTACTGTTTATTGGCTATGTTACTCTATCATTTCAAAACACAATTTTACAACACTAATCTTTCGGAAAAAATGGCTTACAGTTGATTTAGAGTTTAAAAAAAAAATGCACACAAAGCGCATGCGTACACTTCCACTAACAACCCAGGCTCAACTTTTGGCACATCGTGTGGCATTTTATAGCAAAAAGAGCATAAAAAATGCACATATTTCAATTTTTCTGCAAATAGTTGGGGATAGCGTTCACAAAAAAACTAAACAAAAAAAAAAACAACCAGCAATATGCACGGCATTTCTGCACTGAACACGTACATAGTTGGCATCCAAATCTCAATGGCACAAAGCCTTAATTGTGGTACGGCAGAGCTCTATTTTTGAGTTTGTGAGGCGGGCCTTGTGTCTCGGTGGCTTTTTGCCACACATCCACTATCCAGTTGCATTATTCATGCCTCACGTGCTAGGAGTCCTCCTTCCTCTCCAGGAAAAAAAAAAAAAAGTCCACTGGAAGAAGGAAGACGGGCTTGGCCTGTCATATGCAGGCCGTGAAGGACGCGTTCAAGATGATGCTGGCAAAACATGCCCCCGTAGATCTAATGATGGCGAGATGGCTGGACAACTTGCCTTTCATGTTCATTACTCAAACTTGTGTTTGTGGCCGTTTTTAAACTTTGTAAATCGGGAAAAATAAATCTCATGATGCGATGGAAAATAGTAAAAAGACAAATTCAAAATGTTTTCTTGGCTTTACTTAGGTTCATCCACCTTTACTAAGCTCAAATTCAAGCACTGTTGAGACCCTTTTCTCCCCCCCCAAGCTTTCCCGTCACCTTAAAGTTGACTTTTCCCTTTCGGGAGTTGCCACAGTGCATCACTCGCATGATTTGTTTGGCACGATTTTTACACGTGATGCAAACTAGCCCGTTTGACATCGGAGCGACGTTGCAAAATTGTCGCCTGGCAAGAGGTTTGTCTGTCCTCCACTGCACTTCAGCGCCAGTTGTTCCAAAGTTCCTGGCCATCATGTAATACAATTTACGCAGGAAGAGGATCTGTTCTTGGCTAAAACCTTCTGCTGGATGGAGCTTTTTTGGCGCCCTGCAAACACAGCGGGCGCAAGTGCATCGATGATCCCAACCACTCGATAAGCACTCATGTCAGCTGTAATAACCGTAAAGACACGCAACAGCTCAGAGACTTTCACAAATCTTCTGCTATTGTGTCAATGCAAAATGGCTGCCTCGTCCTGGCCTTTCAGCTAACAGAGCCCTCTGGTGTATTGCAACAACATCATGAGGCTCTCTACTGGCGATCGGGGTTTTAAGCTGCAGATACCGATCATCCCTAGCTGCGATCATCTGATACCGAAACCGATACCAACCACGTGGATTTGGTGAGATTTCCAGTTTTAGAGCGATACAGTAGCTCTGAAATAATCAATTCATCTGTTATTTTTCAATGAATTGATTAATCAGATTTTTTTTTTTTAAAAAAACACACATTTGCGAAATGTGTATCCCTTTATGATTTTAAAAAACAGACCCTCTTGACTATTTTGAAAGATGAATGAACGCTTACAAATGCAAACCGACTAGAAAAGCGAAAACATTTGTTGTGTTTGCCCAAGGAGGACGTTTTCAAACGAGCCACGAAGCTCCCGTTTCAACCGCAATTTCAACACGGTTATTTTTGATGGTGATGGGGAGGAAGACGATAGCGTCGGCGCAACGGGGGAGGCTTGGGGGGGTTAGAACAACGGGGGCTTTTGTCTGCCTCGCTCATTTGCATACATTAAAAGCTTCCTCCGCCGTGCGTCGTTACATCCTTCTTCCTCGGCTGAACGCGCCGACTCGTTTACGGCCGGGGCGCTAATCGCACCCAAAAGTGGATGCTTCATATTTCCTGCTCTGATATACGATGTTTGTTGCCATAGCAACGCCATAACAGCACCGCTCCTGGGAGTCAGCGGACCAAATTGCAGCGAAAAAGTGTTTACCCAGTGGCGATATCATGTAGATAAATGTTATCTGATCAAGTGTGCGCGCATGGAAGTAAAAGGCCCTCCTCATGCTGCTGTTATGCCCCCCCCCTTCTCCGCCC